TAGAAGCAAAACGCAATTTCCTAACATTTGAGGTATTGCTCATGCTTCAAGTTCCGAATAGAAGGTGATGAAGATGACAAAGGCTAGAAATGAACAACAACGAATGTAGATGTAAATAAAACAAAATTGAAAAAACTAAGGAAACGCAATAAATTAAAATCGCGTGTGCATTTCTGCGATCCGGCTCGAATCCGGCTCTAAAGCTATAGAAATACTTCAAACTAACGAGTGGGACGCTTAGGCCGTTTTTATTGTCATGTTCTGTGGGAATGCGCGGCCTCTGAGGGATATTGCAGAAGCAGCACAGTTGCTCTTGAGTTCTAGCCCTCGTCATCATCTTCGGTTCTTATTTTGCAGCACCTAAAATGTTATCCGCATAAAGAAATTGCGTTGTACTTGTATTCCAAAGCGCAATTACAGGACTTGGCAAAAAGCCAAGAGAGCTGCACGCGACCGCGCCGCGCGGACGGTGTTAGTAAAAACGTGAGTTTGCGAAACGGGCGGCGTAGCAAGGAATTACGACTTTCCCACGGCCCCGTACTCTGACCCCGTGCAGTTTTGGGCGGGGGGACCACGACACATCGACAGCTGGGGGCTGATAGTCTCATACACCCTCAATGTGTGTGAGCGTACCATGTGTCTTTAAGCACGTACAACCGCTGTTCGGTATGAAACTCCTTATAGGGCATTTTGCATGTTTTCTTTTTGATTTTTCTTCACTAATAGGTTTCTTGCTACCTTGCTATTACTACCTGAGCCGCATACTCATCAAATTTGAACGCGGGCGCTGCCTTTAACGAAAATTTCTAGTTTGACTGTTTAAAGCGAATGCGCCAGGAGTGCACTGCAGGTCTTTTTGGCGCCGGCGCCGTCGTGCTTCAGCCAAGCGCTTCTATACCAAACTGATGTCATATTCGTGCTCCGGGGATCAAAATATACTTGGGAAAAAGTTTTCGACGAACTCGGTATGCCGCGATGTTTGATACCTGCGCCAGAAACCACTCATGGGTAAAGAAGAGCTAGTGAAGGAAGATTCAGTAACTAAAGAGCAAACAAGCTATGCTGCCTACCTCCCTCAAGCACGGCGATGACTCTTCCTCCTGCCAATCCCATAAGCTGATATGTCATCAACGCGAACGTATCAGCACTAACCTGAAATTGGTAACAGCGTAATGGACGAACGCGCTGGCAGCTCCAGTGTTTCTCCTACTCAAAGGAATGAGGTAGGACAATTTAGTACTCGAAATCGTCGTGCCTCGTGTATATAGTGGGGGAAAAACGAAGCGAAACCGTCAAAAACCTGCGGAAAAGGCTTCGTTCTATACGCTCAGAAAGCAATTTCGGACCTATTTCCCGTTGGCATCACGCCGGTAACCGCTATGGTAGACACGGCTGCGTGTATACTCTCATACATCCCTCCAGCACCGCAGCCGCTTCACATACACCTCTCTGCTTCATATTGTGCTTCAAAGAAGCGATGAGCATCAGCATGGTCGGACACTTGTGGGCGGCATGGCGCGGTGGGTGTTCGGGTCAGGTCTGTTGCAGCTTAATCGGTCACTATTGGAGCATTTCCTAGGAAAAGGCGCCACACAGGCCTGCTCAGGATCTCTGAATCGTGTCCTGCTAGGCGTATTAATCCTACACTTCTCAGGTATTTATCGCGTCACTTCCCTTTAAAGGCATAAGGCACGATAATTTGGTACTTGCTCAGAAATGACAGCAGCGGTACGATATAGTGAAAAAATGAGGAAGAAAGTGAAGGTGAATGGCCAAAAACCTGCGAAAAGCCTTTGTTCTACACAGCATTTAACGAGCAATTCTGGACGAGTTTCCCCTTGCCATCGTGCCAACAACTGCTTTGGGAGATACGCCTGCACGTATGTATTCATATATCCATGTAGCAACGCCTCATGTCAATTGGACTCCCAAATGAAGAAACAGAGCACCAACGCCGATAGAACTGTACGGACAACTGTGGGCGGAGAGATGCCGTGGGCGTCCGGGATGGCATGCTGGAGGTTTGTAGGGCGTCATAAGGGTATTACAGTTGAACAAGGCGCCTGCAGCAGCTGTTAAAGGGCGCCGAATTTTGCTCACTTAGGCGTGTTTATCCCACACGTCTT